GACCAATGCGCCCAAATGGAAAAAAGTTCCTCGACTGATATACCTTTTCAATTCTCTCAAGCTTTTGTAAGCCGTTTATATAAGCATGATCTTTTAGTGGTCGTTATTCCTCCTCCTCGTGATTTGTCCGTCAATTTCTTTTATTGTATGGAAGTTGGTCAGCAAACTAAGGAGCAAAGGTATGGATGTTCTAGCACAAGCTACTGAATTTCTTTTATCATTGTTCCTCCTGTGCATAAGTATGTGTGCGCGGCGTGCCTCTGCGCAGGTTTCGGACATATCATTTTAATATATCCTTAATGTGAAAAATTTGGATTTGATTTTAACTTTAATTTCCATGCTTATCTGAGCTGTATACCTTGTATGTACTTCAGTTCCCCCGACGACCAGTGGCAAGCAAAGAAAATTCCGTTTTCGGAATCGAGACAAAGTGCGCTATCATGCCATTCGCCTGAGTAGAAAGTTTAGTGAAATGACGGCACGTCTCAACGAACTTACAAGTCGTGAAGAAAAGCAGAAGGTTATAATTGATTTCGTGAAGAAGTAAGTTGCGAGGCCTTTATTATCGGCTTCCTAGAGTTTTTAATCGCAAGCCCGATGGTCGAGACCCCATACTGTTGAAACGGCATCTTCCAGAGTCTTTCTTCCAGCCTGAGCCTGATGATGAGACATGCAACATGCCTGAGGACCTTAAATTAATGGTTTGTCGTGTTCGCATGTTGAATTATTTGGGACGAAAAGTCACTGTCGGTCTCGCTGGATTTATAAAGACAGTGGAACTTGAGGCGGGCCAATATTTATTCAATACGGGTGATCAAGAGAACAACATATTTGTCGTGAAAAATGGCCAAGTCGATCTTATACTAATGGATACGGTAAGTAGAATTCGCATTTAATTTATTTTGGCTTACGACATCCCTCTCTAATACTAGATAATATTTCATGTGTTTTGATATATTCATGGCTAGGAACCGCAGCGTTATTTTGACTTCTGAAAGTGACATCTTGATTATTCTTATTCACCATGCGTTACAACAATTTGTATTGGGCTACGACACACAATTTGTACTGATTATCAGTACCGTCCGTTAAAAAGCTTCTTGCGTCTGATCTGTATGACTCTTCATGTAACTTTGCGCCCACTTATGTTTAAATCATGTCTGTATAGAGTTATTATTTTACATTCAAAATTTATAAGATTTTTTTCGAACGCAGTAGACTCAACTCGCATGACCCAAATTATGATGTCTTTTTATCACACTGATGACTTAGCTTGCATCCATTAGACCGATGAGGATCTGCAAGCGTGCTACCGAATAATCTAACGACATTTAACCTTAAATTCGACAGGCGAATTTCATTGCTCTCATGCATCAATGTGCGCAAAAATGTGCACGCAAAAATAGTTTATTATGGATAAGGGAGCGCATTGATTTTAAATTATGGATGTTGGAATGTTAACTTCTTTAGTCGGATTTCTCCGGTGCATTTGATAAACCAATTAATCTCCTGGTTTTTAATTCTTTATCATGAACTCTAGCCTGTGCCTTTTGTTTACTTGCATAAATCCTCGCAGGATAGCTTTCCGATAAGTTATCTTACCTACTGCCGCCACGGATTAGGCTCGATCTCAAAATTCCTCAAAGACGTTAGTATATTTGTCTTAAGTCTTGTTTATACAGATTGCCTGGATGAGAATGTGAAATTTTAATTTTTTTTGTGCAAAACTCGGGCCTGAACGGTTTTCCAAAATTGTTTGTCTTGATTTGTAGAAGGCCTGAAATTCGAAAAAAAAGCTTTTCAATATTAGAAAATCAGGTTTTAATATTACGTTGGCAGATTTTTTATTTTCATTTTTTACATATCTGCTGTTGCGCCTAAAGCTTCCTTTTATACTTTTCTCCACTCTTCCTACGCTATCCAGGATGGCAATGAAGTTGTCGTTCACGAAGTCACCGCCGGGGGAAATCCCTACTCACTAATGGCCATCATTGACTGGATGATCCAACAGCCGTCAACTTATCACTCGGCCAAGGCTATTGCGGCCACAAACAGCACTGTGATTTGTTTGTCTATTCCCGATCTCTTGAAAGTCTGTCAGCAGAACCCACCTGCCATGTTGCGTCTCGTGCAAATGATATGCGTTCGCATTCAGCGGGTCACCTTCTCGGCCCTGCACAACTTTTTCGGGCTCGATAAGGAATTATTCAATCAGGCAGGTTTTGTGCATTACTTGCTTCTACGCTTACCTTAGATTTTTTTGCTTGATAAATCAACGTAAAAGGCAGGACCTGAGTTAGTCACGCCTCTTAAATTCCAGAATTACTGCATTGTCCATCGGTTAATTTTGTCACAATGTTTCCTTCGCAAATGCTTCCATCAATGTCATCAAACCTTAATCCGCAGCACCATAATATTACTTGGCTCTAGTCATTTTCTAACGCAAAGGGTTCACGTTTTACAACACTGAAACATCGGATGACGAGCGGTCTACGATCATACTGCTGCCTACATGAATACGTTTTGTGAATTATCGAACCTCGGGCGGTGCACCACTTGGGATTGGGTATGACTGACTGACAAAGGCTAATAAACCAGAAATTGTCATTGCCGCCTCCCTTATCCTTACCGGCAATGTTATCTGCCTAGGCTACTAGTCGCTGTCCGGCTGCTGGTGGTGTTCGAGAATGAGCCCAAGGCAGAGTGGGACGAGTGAGTTCCGTTAGCCATCGATGCACGTTCATTTAAGCGTGTCAGTCATCAACTATCTTTACTTTCAGCGCATGATTTCAAAAATAAGTATTGTGAAATTAGTTTAATCATCAGGTGCGTTTTAAGTGCACATCATACTAGGACCGCATCCAGCCAGACCACGTTCCAATATGTACGCAAATGCAATAACCAAATATGTGTGCTGCGCCATATTCTTGAATTCCGTCACGGCTACTAATAACCGACGGCCGTATGCGTTTTTGAATTTACCACAGGGTTCAACTCTTATTATCGTAGGTCCCCGTGGCAGCTAATGGAGCTAAGCGATGCGCGAACAAAGCTACTCACTGTGCTCAGAACCTCCCATCGATTTACAACCGCACGAGTTTTGGTCCATAACCATGATTTGCAATCTTTCGCTATTCGGTCCCCTGTCTTGCTTATGCTGTCAACTCGATTCTCATACGGACTTTGCACGTTTCTGGTTGTGAAGTCTTTACTGAATCATTACTAAGCTCTCTTAGACTGCGCTGGCGCTACTCATTTTCTGTTCCCAAGGTATCTTGGTCTTCGCACTGCGGCGTATGAGGTAGACGAGATCGTCCAACCGATTGGCTTATCCATAAATGCATCGAAGGCTATTTGGGAGCCTGAGAAGACATCCCTTCGGGCTAATGACTGCAATTTTTAAATGTGGACAGTTTCAAGCATACTGGGGTCAATTTGCTGCCAGACAGACAAAAAAAGACTACATTGTCCTCAAAATCGATTATATTTACCGGGTTGTTGCAAGCTTTCATGTCATGTCATGTCCATCGTTACCAGGGCTCGCACATACCCAGTATCTTTCCGGTCATTTTTGCATGGTCTTTGGTGTTAGGCCTGAAAGGCGATTGAAAACTGTTGACCAAGAAGTTGCCTTCGGGCACCGATACCGATTGTTTGCATTTGCTTGTATTATTTTTAACGAGCAGTATTTTTTGGGCTGCAGTCTTACATTTTGAGTGGACCGATTTCCCCAGAGTACGAAAGTAGCATTTGCCCTCTAGTCGGTCCTTTTTATCGTCACCATTCTTGTGAATACCATCGTAGATGCCAAGTTTGCAAAAGCGAAATGTTCGTTTAAGTTAGCATCGGCAGATGAGTTACGCAGCACCGTTATCCTCACTATAACATCTCATAAATAATTATTTGTCACAGATTAATTTCCATATCAAAAGTACAACCGTATAACCTTTTGTGTAGCACCTTGCAGTTTTATTATGCTCTCTTTCCACGCTCTCCTTCATACAGAACCCGCCTGCTGGACTGCTAGACTCTTCAGTTACCGCCCTCCTTGCCGGTCGCGAAGATACTGCTAGTCTGACGGAGGCTTTTCCATCTACTGCCAAGCAAACGTGTACTGTTTGTAAGTTGACGTTTTCCTGGTTACTTTTTAAGACCTTTACACTGTATGAGCTGATTAGCGTTTAGTTTGAGCATTGTTTGGACATATCGGTTGCCACTCCTGCTGATGTGCCGTTCTGAGCAGGTAGAACTCCCCGAACTCAGGTAGACGAAATGCAGACAGATTCTCTTTCCACTCTGACACCAACACACTTTATTGATGTTTCTGCGTGAAGATCAGCAGCATGAGTTCAGCGAACCTACTGTTGCCTTTCGCGGTGGTTCACCTGCTTTAGTGTGCGAAGATCATAAACATCATCCAAGCCGGATGCCTGAAGATGGCCTCTGTGTGAATGGGCATATTAGCGTGAACGATTTTTTCAGCACCAGACACCCTCGTCCCCCTCTCACACTTTCCATTGGCAAACTAAGACAGCTGGGAGCAGGCCGAGGGGGTTTGCCGTCTGGGGCCATTCGGTTCAAAATTCCACGGATCTGAAGAGAAGGTCATCCGTGACGTCGTCTCCCAAAATTCGTTTTCCAAATTGGTGTGAAAAAAAAAACAGAATTAAACAGACACTATTAAGCCAGATCAAGAGTGGACGCTGGACTTGGTACAAATGTGATAGTACCTGACCTAACCAACCTCACTGGCGTCACGTGTTGCACTTCTGCGGGTGTGAAGATTGGTGGCAGCGGATCTGGAGAGCTCGAAAATTTCCTTTTCGGCGACAGAAGGACCAAAAAGCACTTCCCATATCTTGATGATCTGTCTCGAGTCAGGTCTGGAGATGAATTCCACCTCCAGTTGAGCAACGGTGCTAGATCCAGGACAGCAACAGAAAGCTGGTGAGGCGAACGACGAAGAACGCATTTCGGTAGTCTCTTTTGGTTTACCTGATAGATGATCATCGCAAGGACAGCTGCCTGCCTTGTTTGAGACAATGTCACTCTGTACTGAGGGTAGGCCTCAGATATCAGTGACCAAGTACCTCCAGTTTTCGCTCATCTTCCACGCACAAAGCCCAGCATTCACAATCGTAAAGGAGGATAGACCAAACTGATGCGCGGCACATGCTGATCTTCGTGGCGATGGAGATGCCGCATCGAGCATATAGGCACTTTCAAAGGATTGAGAAAATCCTGTAAGCATTTTAGTTGTCCTTACTGGGCAGCAGCCTCGCTGCGAAAATATGTACTTCTTCAAGTTGACAGCAATCGATCTGGAGGGGTGTCTTCTCCTGCTCAGGTATGCAGCTCGGAAACAACTTAGCGTTAACTAGCGTGGAAGCCCGGCTTCGCCTTGGCTTCCTTACCGTTGTTGTCCTTTTATGAAGGAAAAAGGCGAGTGTCCTCTGCAGGGAAACCTTTTGAAACAATTAATACGTCCGAGAAATAAGTAAACAGTAATGAAGAACGGTATGGAAAGACGGAGAACGGTAATTGTGGCACCGGAGGGAGTGACGTACGTAACCACTGAGGGAAAACGGGGTAGATGTCAAAGGCAACAGTAAGGAGGACACACGTAAAAGTAATAATGGGAAAGACGGAGGTAGGGTAAAAGGGCAAGAGAGGAACAAAAAAGAACCAAATTTTGAGTGATTAAGGAATCTCAGGAGGGACGGTAATAAGTGGGGTATTAATAGGAACCGTAAAGAAGTGGAAGATATAACCGTGAGACCAACGCTTCATGGTAAACAACATTCTTCGAAGTCCCGTTAGGTGCCCA